GCGACATCTGAGATTGTCTCTTCATCCACTTTCAGTTGGGTATTGGCCTAAAGATTGTGAGCCAAATATTTTCATCTTGGAAGACTGATAAATGACGTAGCTATTCAATAAATACCTGCAATTGTAAGAGAAGTGAAAATGAGAGCTAATGCACTATCCATAGATGACAAGAGGTTTCATCAAGCCAGGGCTTTCAACTTGTCTCACCTGTTGCTAGGGTACACTCCAGATGGCAATTAGGTGAAAGTGCCTTCAGTTCATACCCTGGCTTTTTTGGCATCTTTTAACTCACCATGGGTTCTTGCTATGGTATCTCTGTCTGTGTATCCCTGCTAGGTTTACACTGTATCTTCTGCTTTGTAACCAGAAACCAATTTACTCACAAGACATATTTCCAACGTTTTGAAAAACTGCAAAATCACAATGGTACTGGAACAGACTTAGTTACCGGTACGGCTCTCTCCATTAGATACTTGCCACTAAGTAAAGGTCTGTTGAGTGTATAAAGAGGTGGTAGATCTTCTATCTCTGCTATCCTCTGGTATACGGCTCTGGATAGATGATTCCCATGATATAAACTCTCCAAGACGATGCTAGAGAAGTAAATTGGTTCCACAGAGAGGCTAAGGAAGGCTCCTTGAATACCCAATACGTTTCACCTAAGAGGGAAGGAAAAACAAAACAAAACAAAACACTTTCTCTTTAATGGAACAAGTAACATCTGCCATAACATCACAATGGATTTTCAGACTTGCACAGAATCACAGAATGGCTTGGGTTGAAAGGGACCCCAAGGGCCGTCTAGTTCCATTCCTCTGCCACAGGCACAACAGCCACAAATCTGGTGCTAGACCAGATTGCCAGGGCCCCATTCAACCTGGCCTTGAACACCTCCAGGGACGAAGCATCCACAGCCTCTCTGGGCTGTGTTCCAGCAGCTGTTCCCGCACCTCAGCTCTCTCTCTCCACAGAACTTCCCTCCGACATCTAATTTAAACCTTCCCTCCTTGAGCTTAGAACCATTCCCCCTTGTCCCATCACTGTCTACCCTTGTGAAAAGTTGACTCACCTCCTGTTTAAATACTGGAAGACAGCAATCAGGTCTGCCCACAGCCTTCTCTTCTCCAGGCTGAACAAGCCCAGCTCCCCCTGCCTGTCTTCATAGGGGAGGTGCTCCAGCTCTCTAACCATCTTCGTGCCCTCCTCTGGACCCTCTTTAACAGCTCCAATTTCTCCTGTACTGAGGGCCCTAGACCTGGATGCAGTTCTCCACATGTGGCTTCACGAGGGCACAGCAGAGACAATCACCTCCCTGTCCCTGCTGGCCACCCCTCCTCTGATGAAGCCCAGGATACCATCAGCCCTCTGAGCTGCAAGAGCACGCTGCTGGCTCATGTTCAGTTTTTCATTCACCAGGACCCCCAGGTCCTTCCCCATAGGGCTTCCAACCCTTCCTCTCTTGAACAGAACATGGCCACGGTAACATGGCTACGATACCTGACAGAATTGCAGAGATCAGCTCAGACAAATCCTGAGTGAGGCAACCAAGGTCTACTGTCAGCATCCTCTTCAGGAGCAAATTCCATTACCATGTTTCCCTGCTAACATGCCTGGTGATTCATTTTGCAGCTGCAGCCTAATGCAAGAGATGAATAGGATCATTCAATCAGAGGAAGCCAAACTGTAGCATCAACATTAAGAAAAACTTCTCCAGAAGAGTGACTGGGCACTGGAACAGGCTTTCCAGGGAGCTGGAGTCACCATCCCCAGAGGTATTCAAGAAATGTCTAGAGGTGGTACCCAGCGACATGGTTTAGTGGGCTACATTGGTGGTAGGTGGACAGTTGGACTAGATGATCTTAGAGATCTTTTTCAACCTCAGTGATCCTGTGATTCTACGATCCTCAGTCAAGCAGTAGCCGGTGCCTCCAAGATACCTGGCAGTGGACAAACCATTCATCCCGCAGGGCAGGGATTGTGTCTGCAAGACATCAGAACCTCATCGCTGTAAGGGAAAGTTCAATCTTTAAATCCTAACCAAACTGTCCGCATCCTGCTGCCAACGAGGATATTTGTACTTGGCTGCAGTACTCATGGGCAGGATGAAAGCAGTCTCCACGCACACGTACTCTTGGCCTACTTCAGCTGTTCCACAGATTCCAAGCAAAAATCCCTGTCTGCATAATTGTGATCCACATTGGACCAAGTCTAGCATGCATAGTAGCAAAATACTGAAGAGCTTTTTGTGTCTGTGTTAATTTTATCAGGTTTTAGCTCCCAGTCTGTAGGTGACTATCGTATGAAACACTTTAAAACCTCAGTGTCCTGTAGAGTACTTCCATTGCACTCTCTTCTGAGGTATACTTGCCAACAATTTGGCACTATTAGAATTGTTTAACTGAGCACAACAGCAACACCCAGACAACTGGATACACCAGCAGAAGGCAAGTTTGTTTTGGTGTTTAATAAAAAAAATAAATACAGCGTAACAGAAGTTCATCTGCTCATATAGACTGGTTGTCCTTAACAAAATGTACATCCTAAACTGTCTCACAAGGTGATCCTAAGAAAAGAGGACTCTGTTAACAGTGTACCTTGTACCTCGTCCTGGGAGGGCAGGGCTACACACCATCATCAGTTCAGCTGGTAACTGCATAATACAACTGTTTTGTTACTTGGAAAAATGGAACTGCACATTTTGGCTTGCAAAATGTTGAAAAAAGAGTAGAACAAAAATTGTACCCCAGTGAAACAATTTATTTGCATATCTTTACTGAGGATGAAATTGGAAGAAGTGTGCGTTAGCTTATTCACCTGTCATTAAAAAAGCTTGCCCTGATGTATGAATAAAAATACTGTACTAAAAAAAATAAGGTACATGCATTACATTGAATAAAGACCTATTTTTTGTGATGGTGAAAATGCAAAAAACAGGCAAACATAAGATTAAATGCATCAAGAGAAAACTATTGCTTCCTAGAGACCCTTCTGTGGATCTTGCCATGACTAGAATTTCCTAAGCACAGAGGTACCACAGAGGTACCAACTGCAGTAGTGTCCTGACATTGGCAGTGTTATCTGCAAGAAGCATAGGGAAGCATATGGACCGCTAGCACAGGCAAATAATATGGAAGAAACATCTGGAAAAGATTCAAGAGTAAGCATTGCAAATTAGGCTCCTACAGTTGCATCTGAAGTTTTCGGACATACAGTTTAAGCCTCTTTTGGTTAGGCATATCAGGTTTTATTTTTCTTGAACGTACTTGAGTGATGGATAGACATTTTTTAAAGGCCAGAGTACATCTCTGGCTCCCTCAATCAAACTTTTGCCAGATCCTTTGCCTGGCTTCCATGTTCAGTATTTCTAGAGCACATGTTCTGTTGCTTCCTCCCACCTCCCACACCCAGCCATCTTGGCTGGCACAGAAAATGACAGCTAAAGCTTGAATCTTTCAAAGTCTTAGGACTAAAATGAGAGGAGGAGTTTGGACACTCAGACAGCTCACGCAAGGCGAACTACACAAACCTGCACTACAGTAACTGCAGTAACTGAGGCCTGTGCCTCTGGTTTTGCTGGAATGAGCTTTATCACTTCTACCACTTCGCTGTGTGCCTACTGCATGCAGAGCAACTGGCTTGCTGCAAGTACAAGGCTTGCAGAAAACATTCCAATGTCCAAAGCCTTAAGCTCTTAAAATATACCGGCTGCGGTTGGATGACGGCTGAGTTCATAACATTCGCTTTAAATTTCAGCTGTTTCAGTGAAATAACATGCAGTTATCTAGAGAAATACATCATTCCTTTAGAAACTGGCAGTAACTCAAATAAACGCAAAACTTGAAACAAGTTCTATACATTGCAACAGTGGCAGAAAGGAAGGAACACACAGAGACTTTCTTGTTCCTATTTAGGCTGTGCCTCTTTGTGGCTAACAAGAATTTCTCACTCCCATTAGTACATACACTAAAACCTCCTCTACAGACAGACACGTCCTGAGAACAAGCCACACCAACACGATGCGTCCATTTTCAAAAAGCCACAGGCCTACTGAAACCTGACATCTAAAACTGATCCGTGCCAGTTCACAAGCAGGATTTGTCAGAACATCTGTCAACAAAAGCTGTCAATTCAGTACTACATTTTACTGAGAACACAATTTCTTTTGAAGTGAACGGGCTAAATTCTGTATGGGTTCACTCTAAACCATGAGGTGCAGAGCACAGAGTGCAAGACTTATTACAAAAAATGCTAATAAATTCAGGTTTTCTACCTTTGCTACCAAGCAGTGAAACACTTAAAAATACATTTTTTCCTTCACATTAGTATATCAGTAGCATGAGAAAAAGGTTGAGTAACTGAAGCTGCATAAATCAAGTTTGCAAACTCAAATCTTCAGTGCTCATGCTCAATTTCTAACACAGAAAGGAACCTTTCCACTGCAGTGCCACACTGCAGCATCACACTGCAGCAGACTGCATGCAGATCCTGGCCATGGAACAGTGCTCAGGTATGGCAGTTTGATGGCTTGAGAAAGGGGTAATGGAAGAAAATTCTCCACCACTAATTCAGTGATTTAAATCTCTTCCGCAGCAGTCATAGGCAAAAGTACAAAACTTCCACATAAAATGACTTAATCCTGGGTCCAAATCTGACTGGGCAGACCAGAGTGAATCAGACCCAGGCAATACCTTTTGTCAACAACAAAATAGGAAAACAGCACCACATTTGCAATTAAAAAAAAAAAAAAAAAAAAAAGCAACAAAGCACAAGATTAAGCAGCAAATGGCTGCTGCTGCATTATGTCAGTGGAAATACTGACATGTCTACAGGCTCACAGATAAGAGTTTCATGGAAGAGGAGAGCCTCAGCAGGCAAAGAGACATCCCCCCATGTAAAACGTTTTGCAGGAAAAGATTGCCTATCTGAGCATAAAAGATAAGCCCTTTGTGGCATATCCTGATGATATTCACTCCTATGATATTCTGAATGTTCTGATTTTAAGTTACCATAAGAAATCAAGAGATCTTCTTCCACCAGCTTTATAACATTTCAAGCTATATGGACATTCTAAATACCAGCTTTTATGCTGACACAAAGCACAAGCCACAAGACTTAGTTCCAGGCTGTCAACACTTATACAGAGCTGTCTCTATGAGTTGACTGTCTGAACCTTGTTACAGTCAGTGGTGATTGATTCAGTATCCAAGTAAGGCCATTTTTATTTGCCTGAGCAGCTCTCCATCAATGAGATGGCTGGCAAGTGCAAGGGAAGCTAGGGCACCTTGTGCAGACAGGGACACCCACAGTCGAGCAGCATGAGATACCCCTGCACCGTTTCTCTGCAGTTCTAGAAAGATGCACAACACAAGGCAAGGAAAGCTGACGTGGTGCCAGTAAGCTCAAAGGATTGTTTACTTGTCCTAAACTGACTCTGCACTTCTGAGCAGCCTTTTGTGACACAGAAGTTCCTTCAGACAGTCACCGAGCACTTTGTTGCTCTACCAACAATTCCGAACCCACAGCACCTCAAAGCCCCTTCAAGAGCCCCCAGCTACTGTCCTGAGCCCTCCAGGTCTCCCTGCTGCCCCTTAAAAACCTCAGGATGCCAGCAGCACCTCGTGCCTTAGGATGCCCGTTGGATTTCACAATGATGCACTCATCTCCTGCATCGTGATCACCGGCAAAAATATCCAACGGCGCCGACCCGAGCCGGGGGCTCAGTAGTGACAAACCTGCTGCACTGCAGCGTGTGCCCAGTGCCTCCGGTCCCGCTGCTGGGCACCGCCGGGCACAGCCCGGCTCCGACCTCTCCGCGCCTCCCTGCACGGACCGATGGTCGCGCCCCGGATCCCCTCGAGCCTCCTCTTCTGCAGGCTGAGCCGCCCCAGCTCTCCCGAAATCCCACCCCAAGCATTTCCCGCGCGGTGCCGAAGAGGGGAGGGGATGCGGGGGAGGAACGGGGCCGACGGTCGCAGTGCTACGACACGGCCGTTTGCGCCGCCACGTCCTTACCCTGCGGTGGGCACGGGGACGGGGTGGCTTACCGGAGCTGCAGAAACGACCGCGGGCAGAAGCGCCGAAAAACGAACGGGAAACGTTTAATCGACGAACGCACACAGCGACAGAAACGACGGCGTTCCCAACCGGTTTCCGTCCGAACGGCGACTCCGGAGGACGGCTCGGTGCCGACGAGGGACGGACGGGCCCCCACGCCGCCTTCCCCTGAGCGCCCGGCGTCCCCAAGGCACGGGGCAGCGGGGACGCGCGGCGGCGGAGCACCACTTTCCCGGCACGGAGCCCCACGGCTCCGCCGGCGCCATCGCCGGGGTCCCGAGGCTACGGCCGCCATTGGCGGAGATCCCGCGCTCGGCCCCGCCTCCTCCGCGCCGTTATTGGTCGGCCCGCGGAACGGGGCGGGGCGGCGCCCGTGGAGTCCTTTAGTTCCGATGTCGCGCCGCCGTTGCGTCATCACCGCGCGCGTCCCCGTTGGCCCCGGCCCGGCTGCCCGCGGCGATGTCTGTCGCCGAGCGCCCGTTCCGCTTCCGGGGTCCGGGGCGGCCGGGCCCCGGCCAGGGCTAGGGGAGGAGGAGGACGGGGACGCGAGGGACTGCGGCGAGGCCGAGCCCGTGCCGCCCCGCTCGGTGCGGGCCTTCCTGGAGAGCGGCGAGCACGGGCCGCATCCGTGCCGCCAGGAAAGCGCCGAGCGGGGGTGCGCGGCGGTGTTCAGGGCGGGATGAAGCGCGTTTCTTTGTGCCTCCACCGCTGTTTCTGGAGCGACAAATGACTTCGGGTTCGGATGCTGATGATTTGAGCAAAGCAAGAACCAAAGGCGCACGCCTGACTGCCAGGCTCCAACACGCCTCGATCCATGGGATCAGCGCCCCTCCTTCGGGGCTGCCCGGCTCAGCCAGGAGCTGCTCCTGGTCACCAGGCGGGTCACAGAACCACAGAACCGAAGGGGTTGGAAGGGACCTCCAGAGGTCATCGAGTCCAACCCCCTGCCAAAGCACTTCCTACTCCAGGTCACACAAGTTGGTGTCCAGGCAGGTCTTGAACATCTCCAGAGAAGGAGACTTCACAACCCCTCTGGGCAGCCTGTTCCAGTGCTCCGTCACCTCACCTAAAGAAGTTCTTGTGCCCATTTGTGGAGAACTTCCTATGCTGCAGTTCCTGGCCGTTTCCCCTTGTCCTGTCTCCACATGCTGCAGAAAAGAGTCTGGCCTCTCCTCTCTGCCCCTCACACCTTAGATATTATAGACCTGGATCAGGTCCCCTCTCAGTGATCTTTTCTCAAGGCTAAACAGACCCAGTGCACTCAGCCTTTCTTCATAGGAGAGATGCTCCAGGCCCCTCACCATCTTTGTGGCCCTCTGCTGGACTCTTTCCAAGAGATCCCTGTCTTTTTTGTACTGGGGAGCCCAGAACTGAACGCAGTACTCCAGATGAGGCCTTACCAGGGCAGAGCAGAGAGGGAGGATCACCTCTCTTGACCTGCTGGCCACGCTCTTTTTAATGCACCCCAGAATGCCATTGGCCTTTTTGGCCATAAGGGCACACTGCTGGCTCATGGCCGACCCGTCGTCCACCAGGACGCCCAGGTCCCTCTCCGCAGAGCTCCTCTCCAGCAGCTCATCCCCAGCCTGTACCGGTGCATGCAATTATTCCTCCCTAATAATCACGGTCAGCCGCCGCTTCTCACAGCCCGGCAGCTCCTTGCATTCCCTATCATGCGCAGCCTCTGGGAAAATCAAACAGTACAGTGGACTGTGAACAGCTATACTGAGAGCAATGGGTGCTGAGACATTCAAATGTTGGGACCCACGTGTAGGAAAAGCCGCCTGGGCAGTCAATACTAGGGGATCTGCCCACCGTGCTGGTCCTGCCCAATCAAACCTCCCGCACACTGCAGAAGTAAAATGAAAAAGTGGCACCCAATGACATTCACTGACCGTTGCTGAACATTTCTGGAGACAAAACAGTGGATGTGAGCACAGTGGGGCCATGAGTGTTGCATTTCATCAGTGGTGACAGAGACAGTGGGTCATCCTCCAGTGCAGATTGTTACGAGCTGGTGAAAATGCAAAGCTGATATCAGTGGCTGTGTCAAGAAACAGCATTTGGTAGCTGAGAATTTGCTATATCAAACATTGTTATTGGTCTCTCTGTATCTGTTGTAGTTTCCACAGGAATAAGTAGGAGGCCTTACTTCCTCCAAACAGGAACCTTCCTAAACAGAAAAAGTCCTCTGAACATCTGTGAGTCTCTTCGTCACTTCCTTTTCCAACTTGTTTTCCTATGATTATTGTTCTAGAAAAGCTTCCTGCCAGTTGACATCCTGAACGCCATGACCTGTATCAGCAGGAAAGACAGGATAGGGTCATGCATCTCACTTGGTGCCTGCTGTGTTGCATGCTCTGGAAAACTTTCCAGTTTGTACACTGGACCTATCAATTCTGTTTGTTAGCATCCCAATGCCAGGAGATACAGAACCTTAGAATCAGAATCATGGGATCATAGAATGGCCAGGGTTGGAAGGGACCTCAAAGATCTCCCTGATGGACACCCCTCTTTTGATGCAACCCGGAAGGGGCTGCAAGCTCTCACTGCTGGCTCAGGTGAAGTTTTTCATCTGGCAGGATGCCTAAATCCTTCTCAGCAGGGCTGCTCTCAATGAATTCTTCTCCCAGTCTGTACATATATCTGGGATTGCCCCAACCCAGGTGCAACACCCTACACTTGACCTTACTGAATCTCATTAGGTTCACATGCTCCCTCCCAGATGAAGATTTTGAACAGTTTTGTGAAGAAATGAAAGAACCTTGAAAGCAACAAGAGTTCTTTCAGGTTGGAGTTAGGAAAAACTTCTCCAGAAGAGTGGTTGGGCACTGGGACAGACTGCCCAGGGAGGGACTGGAGTCAGATTCCCTGGAGGTGTTCAGGAAACGTTTAAGTGTGGTACTGAGAGACAAGTTATGAGGAACATGTTTCTTTAGAATTGTTTCAGAATGGCATTTCACTTGTGAACTAGGCAAGAGGGTGTAGAATGAACAAAGGCAAAACAGAGGCTACAGGGAGGGATGTTTGAGGGGGTGAGCCAAGGAATGCGGCCTTCTCTCACACCAGGCACTCATGCTCACGTATTGGTTCAGACTGTGACTTAGGAATTGCACTACAAACTGCAAGTCACAGTAACTCAGCAACTGGGGTGGGTAATATGATAGTAACTTCTTGGAACTGAAAGGTGAGACGGGCCCCAGAGGTGAAAGTAAAAAGGCAAGAAGGCTTCACAGTGACTGAGAATAAGGGGAGTGAAGGGGAATAGTTAGAGATAGTTTATAGAAGCAGGAATGTAGAACTTGTTAGAAAATAAGGGATGGCAGACACTGTGTCTGGGATAGTGAGGGGAATGATGGCCATAAAGATAAGGGCTTGAGAACAGCCCGAGGACATTTGGCAGGGAGGTGATCAGACGTCCACAGGGCAAGAAGAAACAGGTTTTGGGGGGATGCCCCCCCGAAAGGCCAGGAGTTTACAGCAAAAAGGGTTAGAAGCCTTCGTGAGGAAAACAACAAATCTTCATCCCATGACCCACTATGCACGCGCAAGAGGGGAGGGTCTGCATGCTAACGAACTCTTGGGGGTGTAATAAATATGTATCCGAATTCCGGGAAAACTATTGATTATTTATTAGTTTTGCCTATATCTGTAGCACAATTTTTCTAGATGGGGTGCAAGTTAGGCGGACCTATCCCCATTGCAGCAGGTGTCTGCACAGCACTGAATAAACCGTACCGGCTTTGTAGTATTACTTGGCTTACAGAGTTTGATTCCCCTCCTCTTCTTGCATATGTATAACTTGTCTCTAAAAATATCCTTAAACTGTCACTTTGTGGTGTGCAAACTAGGAGGGGCTACCCCCTTTGCACCCAGCGTGTGTGTGCAGTGCTGTAATAAAAATATATACCTGCTCCATAACTACTTTGTGGTTATAGGTTGAATTCCGCAAGGTTTAGTGCATGGATGGTTGGACTGGGTAATCTTGGAGGTCTTTTCCAACCTTGGTGATTGTATGATTCTGTGAGTTTTGATGCTAAGGATTTTACCTCTCTATTTCTAAGCAAAAGCACAAAACTCTGCTGTGTTCTTTATTGCAAGGTGACAGTTCTTCAGAGGACGTTCCACCAGACTGCCCCTCTGCTGCTGTCTGTAGCATGGCAGCACAATGTGGAGCCCCAGAGCCCCTCATACCTTGAGTCTGCTTGCTCTGGTTCCATCCCTGCCGGTCCAAAGCAGCTGCTCTCAATGAGTGAATGTTCAGTGCTCAGCTGCTCAGCGCAGCTCCTCCACAAGTCACGTTTCCATGCCTCTGGCCTTCTCCTTCTTGCTTCTAAAATGTTCCCAGTAACCCCACCTTGTTCTTGGAACAATGCTCAGGACAGCAGGGCTCAGAAGAGGCACATCTTGCAGCTCTGAACCAGGACCCTTGGCTGTGACGCAGCCTTTCCCACACACAGCTCTCTGGCTGAGCTGGGGATCTTCTGAGGACTGGAAAGGTGACACCCCTGTGAAGCGGGGGCTACTGGCAGCCCCATCCTACCCCTCCTGGTGCCACGTTGACCGCTGGGTATGACCAGTTTGGGAGGAGCACACCCATGCCCTGTTACAGATGGCCAGATGAGTGCCTGACAAGGGTGGAAGAGAGAAGCAATATTTTAGGGAGTCAGGGAGCAGACTTTGGCTTGTCTTTTGCTTCTTAAATGAGGAATTGCAGTTGTTTCCCTTGGGGCCTCTGTTTCAGGGAGTAAGAGCGTCCCTGTAAGGCTGATGGATCTTGTTCAGTGCACCAATGACTGGAATGGAGCAAAGGACCATTTTCTGCAAGACCTTTCTTGTGTTTTCTTCTATCTCTTTCCATGTGGTCCAACAACCAATGGGTTTCTGTACAAGAAGAGAAACTCTTCTAAAAAAACAGGGCAGTTCTTCTCCCAGATGCATGCCCTGGGGATGGTTTAATGTCACAACGCTGAGGGGAGGCAGCCATTTCTCTGCCTCTCTTTATCCCTTCCCTACAAGTTGCCCAGCTGTAGTGTTTTGCTCCTAACCTATGCCAGCACCTCTGAAAAAGCCCTTGTCTTCCCACCAGGGATCTGAAGGAGCAGCGAATTGGAAGGAAAAAGTCTCCTCTCTGTCCCAGGCCCAGCCTCACAATTAGCTGCACTTTTCACATG